ACATACACACATACACACATACACACATACACACATACACACATACACACATACACACATAGACACATACACACATACACACATACACACATACACACATACACACATACACACATACACACATACACACATACACACATACACACATACACACATACACACATACACACATACACACATACACACATACATACATACATACATACATACATACATACATACATACATACATACATACATACATACATACATATATATATATATATATATATATATATATATATATATATATATATATATATATATATATATATATATATATATATATATATATATATATATAACGTACACGATATAATGGTAACTCCAAAATTGAATATTTTAATATGTTCTATAGCTTATGACTAAGTTCTAGTCACCATCAGTCCAGTAGATGATTAGAACTTAGTTGAAAGCTAATCATTATAATTGAAATGTTCATGAGTCTGATGATGATTAGAAAGAACTTAGTCGAATGCTCGGCGACATAACTAAAATATTCCTTTTCGCAGTTACAGTTGTTTTGTATTTTATCAAAACACTCAGTGGTTACAGTAATAGTCTATCTAAGACTATCTATAGCTCTCACGTTGTATATTCCAAAGGTATATATTTTACTTTAATTCAGTTACAGTCTGATGTAGACCAAAACTGTGAATATCTTGATGTTAGAGTCATGTGGTAATAATATATACCGTATTACGGGAACCACCGAGTATTTTGATAAAATACATTGACTGTAGTATTTTGATAAAATACTGTACCTATACAAAGCAATAGTTACTCCGAAAATAGTACACATTTTGAAATTCTTTATTTCTACGTTTCCACTAGATTGTAGTCATGATCAGGATTATGACTACAATCTAGTCGAAACGTAGACTAAAGAATTTCAAAATGTTTACGTCTATTTTCAGAGAATACTATTGCTTTATATACTGTGTAGTGTAGTCTATAGAGTATTTATAGGTGAAATCTACAGTGCAATTGAAAACCGTGTTATTGTGAATAAATACCGCTGACATAAGTGCTTCCCTTGAACGTTTTTATCCTAGATATTTTACTAACAAAGTTTTCAGTCGTCTTTGCAAGCCCAATCCGGGCAATTGGTGGGCTTAGGGCGAAGCGACATGCCACCTTCTTTTCGAAGGTATAGCCTACGCCTCACCAACGCTGGAAGAGACTCCATATGGTGTTTGTCCAGGCTCTTTTTCTTCTTCTTCAAATTCTGACTTTGCCAAGGCAACGTTTTAACAGTGTAAACAGTTTTCCCTTCCTCGTCCGCATCACTTTCCTCGCTGGAAATATAGTCCAGAGTAAGGACAGCAGCTACCTTCGCTTTTCGCTCAGGCGTCCAATCTTTACTGTTCAAACTCGACAGACGTCTTCCTAATTTCTACGAAAAGAAAAATTTTCTTTGGTTAATTGTTTATTCCCACTTTCAAATTTTGGGTTAAACATCTCTTTAACCGAGGACACTTTTTCACTTTGCTGTACGTTTGGTTTCCAAATGGTTAAAATGTTTGAACTGCAAATTACAATTTAGGATTATACCAGGAAGTTTGAAGCGACAGCCGCAAAATACAACTTTTAAACGTAAATAAAGGTGTGAAATGTCCAGATCGTTAAAGGCCCTGTCACACTATTGCGTATGAGAGAAAGTATGAGAAGCGTATGAAACTGAATGAAATAATTTTCATATACGCACAAAAATCCTTTGAAATGCCAGCGTATGAGTACCGTACATTTGGCGTACCTCTAGTGTATTCAGCGTGTGCGTAGAGTATGCTTATCGAATAAACCATACGTCCGAATACGCACAAAATTTTTAAGCATGCTTAAAAAAAGTTTCTGCCTCACCGTATGCCAGCGTATGCGACCGTGCTTGAAAAGTATACAACCTATATTCCTAACGTACCCCAAACGTATGTCAGCGTTTTCCAGTGTATAAGTAATATTTTTCATACGCTGGCATACGCTATATGATACGCCAATAGTGTGACAGGGCCTTAACTTCGCTTCCCTGTATATGGTAGTTTAATTATATTGCAGAACCCACGCTTTAATTCTTTGTACGCACCATAAAATTGTACTGTCATTTAATTTGTTACCTCTCTTTTTCTGTTGGATCGACAACATTTCTTCACATGTGCCGCATTAGTTCCATCGAGTGTTCTTTTAGCATGTGCCTTTTTGGACTTCATATAAGTCTTAAATGCCGCTAAAAGTAAAAAAATGTTTCTTTTAGGTAAAGATAAACACAAATATAAAGTGTATAACGTTACAAATTCGCTGTGGAACTTGCATTGTGTTTTGACAGGTTTTAATATTCGATTCAGTTGTTAACAAAACATTTGAACCATGAGCATATACCAATGGGTGATACAAATACACTTTTATGATAAGAACACTCTTAATAAGAACACTGAGGCCGAAATTGGCAAAAAATTAAACAAAATAGCCAATAGGAACAAATTGAGGCTGAGAAAAATGAAAATTTTACCGTCAGTGACACACAAGTCGAAAAATATAATAAGACTCCCTTCATTCTTCATTTATGCCCTTCACACTGGGAAAAAAATGTGTAATCCATACTATGAAATTTACAATTGTACCACTAAATCCATAATATATCCATACCATTTCGCAGGGGTTTCAGAATAAGCCGGCGGAGTTCCGCCGGCTACTTGAACTTTTACCGCCGGCTACTTTTCGTCTGGTCACAGGAAAAAAAATTATTTACAAAGGTACAAGCGAACCAACACGATGTTTGTTATGTTCCAATTGGAATTCAAGCAAAACATCACTTATTTTGGAAGATCAATAAGATCAATAATATATAGTACCAAACATAGCTTGCTTTCTAAGTTGGTGTCGAAGTGAATCTTCCTGGAAGATAACTCTGATTGACTCTGACAGTGACTTAAGCATTGCCATTGGGGAATGTGACAGTGAGCCAGAGAACCTCCAGAGCCACTTTGGTAAATGGTTTTGGCAAGTGACTAATTCTCCGACAACGAATTAATTATGATAAAGTAATGAAGTGAAAAACTCTGGGCCGTAGCGAGGGGAGGGGGGGATTTAACCCCCCCCCCAACTTTTTTAGAATTAACATATTGGGAAAATCGGGTTGGCCATTCGGAAAATTACGGCAATAATAGTATAACAAAATTTTAGTTGTTAAACAGAGAAAATATAATAGTATATTTTATGTATTGTATTAATGTATTGTCAGTATAAACTGATTTACGAAATCAT